ATGATAAAATAGACTGACACACAGTTCAGTTTAGAGTGAACTAATATTTTGGTTGTATTAAGGTCAAATGTAAGCACATTGAGGCAACAGAGAAATATGTGCATGAAATAACAGCTATCACTCTTAGTAACTTCAAGGAAGGTCATAACACAGCACAATCTCAATCAGTTCTAAATGTCCTGCAATTCAGAATTTAAACAGTAACCCCAGTCCTGAGATGTTTCTTCCCCAGTGAGCAAAGAAAACTACCTAAGAGGCTAGCTCACTTTGGGCTCTCAGGGACTGATGACTGGGCTAAATTCTGATGAAAGGAGAGCTCTTCGATTAAATAGGCCACTGTCCCTTTAACCTGTAGTATTTGATCTTCTGCACGCTTGATGGGGCCCTAGTTGGTGCACATATGGTTTCAGATCTTCATTGAGGCAAAACTAGAAGTTCCTTAATAGAGGGTGAACACAAAGAAAAAGGAGCTACCCCTTTATGTGGTATTAATTTGGGTGATAAATCCTTTTAAACACCCAAAAGGTGAGATGTAGAATTAGGCAGAGATTAGTGAATGGACAAAACACGCTTCTGTAAGGATTAGTTCCTCTTTGGACCACAGTGGCAACTGCAGCAATAAAGGAGTTCCTAGGCAAATGGGGGACCAACTGTGATGGAAGCAATAATACAGCTTGCCCTGTGGAGGGCAGACACTGCAGCTGGCTCTTGTGATTGGATATGCTGTGAGTGTAATAACTAGTAGGCTGGGTGAACTGGGCCTTAACACGTGTAACTTGGAAAAAAACAGTATCAGTCAAACAGAATAGAAAGTAGCTGAACTGAATAATGTCATTTGCAACTTAAATGGCTTGAGAATGGAACTCTCTCAACCGATCTGTGGCCTCAGCCAGGTAGCGGATAGTCTCTCTGTAGGCGGGGGACCTGTCTTGTGGTTCTTCCTTCAGAGATCACTCCGGGCAGCAGCACTGCGGTCCACCTGCTCACAGGGCAGTTCACTAGACTAATTAGCGATGTCAGCAGTCAGCAATGCCTCCTTTCTTCCCACTTTCTGAGGCTTGGCCCAGCCTGGACCTACAGCATCACGCACAGCCTTCTCCTCACACCTGCTCACCAGCTCTCTCCATCCACTTCCTGTCCTCAGGTTCTCGGGCTTCTGTATTTGCCCCCACGCACATGCCAGCTCCTCTGGGAAATGTAGTTTGTTAACTCGCTGTCAAACAGCAAAGTCCTGCAATCAGTCTACAAATCCCACAAAGCTTTTCAACAGTCTGTACAACTGGGCTTCAGCACGCTGCCATGTTGTGTCTGTTTAACATCCTGCAACCAGTATTATAGCAGGGTGTTCCATGTACAACTACTGACCCTTTGCATTATGAAGTAAGGAGAAAGAATTAGGAAGAACAGCCAGCTTGGGTGGGGGAACGGTGGTGGCTGGTAATGGAGTTTCTGTGGCCAGGGGGTGGCCTGGCACTAGGTGCTCTCCAATCATAAGTTGCGTCCCTATCCTAGGGCCTGCTGCAGAATAGAACCCTCCTAGGAACTGGGCCTGGAATGCCTTGCGAAGTAAATGCAGTAGCTCCCCTCTTGGCTTTCGGGTTGAACATGGTCAAGAGTGCAGTGTGAGAAGAGTTCTTGGAAAGACTCAGCGATCAACGCTGTATATCTCAAAATGTCCTTGTAGTTGGTGTCAGGACATGTGTCATTGGCAAGTGTATCTATCGCACATTATGCTTCTATATGTGGCACCCCAGGGAAGTAGTCTGGCCTTTGGCCATGAAGGGGTGCTAAGCCCACATATGCAACAATACAATCAACATGCAGTTTCCATGTTAACATATCTGTCTGTGTGACGGGTGGTGCAGTGGTCGGGGATAGAGCTCATTAGTGCTGAGCTACACTAAGAAAGGAGTGCCTGCTATGACGACCTCCTAAGGTTCGTGTACCTGTTCCCAACAGGTACACATGAATCTGTAACAAACACTAAAAATGTTGGTATGGAGATGCGCAGGAATTTTAAAGAGTGTGTACAAAACTATTTATACATTCCCCCAGTGTCTCGCAGCTTGTTCTTGTGGGCTGAGCGCAGTCTGGCAGGGAGAGAAGGTTGTCAATATCCCACTGTGATTTCAGAGATGAATCACAGCCATGCGTCCAGTCTGGAGGAAGACAGATGGATGCAGTAGGGAGAAGTTACAAATCTGTAGTCCAGCTGACCTTCCTCTTTTACCAAAACTGATGGCCCGTACCTCTGGTGGAAGATTTTGCAGGTGCCTGAGCATTGCCCAAATCACGGTTACAGAGTTTTGCAGCTTGGGGCCTCATGCACACTTGAGCTCAAATAACGCCTGTTTTACAGGTGGTTGCCTTTTTTTCTGCCCCTAAATGCCCCTCTATGTTAGCCTAGGTGTCCATGTATATATACACATTTACGGGGGTTTAAAGGCAGAAACAAAAACTCATCACTTGTGTGTTCATTAGAGTGTTTTGGCAGAAAAAAAAACCACACCTAAACATGGGTAAATGCATTAAAATGCATGTCTATTGCCACTTGACCTCCGGAAGATTTACCCCCCTTCATGACCAGGCCATGTTTTGCTTTTTGGCACTGCATTACTTTAACTGACAATTGTGCGGTCATGCAACACTGTACATAAATGAAATTTTTGTCACACAAATAGAGCTTTCTTTTGGTGGTATTTCATCATCACTGGGTTTTTGATCTTTTATTATACAAACAAAAAATTTTGAAAACTAAAAAAAAAAAAACAATTATTTTTAACTTTCTGCTATGAAACACATAAAATAAAAAAAAATGTAATTTCTTCATAAATTCAGTGCAATATGCATTCTGCTACATATTTTTGGTGAAACAAATCCCAATAAGTGTATATTGATAGGTTTGCGCAAACATTATAGCATCTACAAACTATAGTATATATACTGGAATTTTTATTTTTTTTATTGTAATAATGGTGATGATAATAGTGGGAATGCGATAGTATGGCTGACAATCTGATACTTTGTGGAACCGCTGGCGCTAATACAGCGATCAGTGTTAAAAAATATACACGGTCACTGTACTAATGACACTGGCTGGGAAGAGGTTAAACATCTAGAGAGATCAAAGGGCTAAATGTGTGCCTAACCAGTGTTTATGTGTGTACTGTGAGGTGCTTTCACTAAAGGATGTGCTGGTTTTTATTCCAGGGAAACAAAAACCAGCACATCCTCACTGACAGGACAGAGTTCTGTATTGTATGCATTGCTGATCAGCCAAAGATTGACTTCTTGCACCCGCTGATTGCCTTATGCCATGAATAATCACAGCACAGCTGGCGCGAATCCCCCCCCCCCACATGAAAGTGGCAGATCATGCGCTGGATACATGATCCGGCACAGGAGAGCCGTTCTGCTGCCGTACTCCTGAGGTGGTCAGCAAGCGGGTTAAATAAACGCCCAAGTGCTTGACATGCCTAAAAGCATTTGCAAAAAGTGTATTTGTGTTTATGAAGAAAAGTGTTTATAAAAACCCCAGCATACATGAAGCCTGACTGCAAAACTTTAAGGCTTCAGTCACAAATAAATACATATTCACCTCCATGGCCTCAGGTGTATAAAATTGAGCACCTAGGCATGCAGACTGCTTCTACAAACATTTGTCAAAGAATGGGTCACTCTCGGGAGCTCAGCAAAATCAAGCGTGGTACTGTGATAGGTTGCCTCCTGTTTAATAAGTCCATCCATGAAATTTCCTCACTACTAAATATTCCACAGTCAACTGTTAGTGGCATTATAACAAAGTGGAACCAACTGGGAACAACAGCAACTCAGCCACCAAGTGGTAGGCCACATAAAAATGACAAAATGGGGTCAGCGCTTACTGAAGCGCATAGTGCACAAAGTCGCCAACTGTCTGCAGAGTCAATAGCTAAAGACCTCCAAATTTCATGTGTCCTTCAGATTAGCACAACAACAGTGTGTAGAGAACTTCATAGAATGGGTTTCCATGGCCGAGCAGCTGCATCCAAGTCTTACATCACCAAGTGCAATGCAAAAAGCGTTGGCTGCAGTGGTGTAAAGCATACAGCCACTGCACTCTAGAGCAGCGGAGACGTGTTCTTTGGAGTGACAAATCATTCTTCTATCTGGCAATCCGATGGACATGTCTGGGTTTAGCAGTTGCCAGGAGAATGGTACTTGCCTGACTGCATTGTGCCAAGTGTAAAGTTTGGTGGAGGGGGGATTATGGTGTGGGGTCGTTTTTCAGGGTTGGGCTTGGCCCCTTAGTTCCAGTGAAGGGAACTCTTAAGGCATCAACATACCAAGACATTTTGGACACTTTCAGGCTCCCAACTTTGTATGACCAGTTTGGGGATGACCCCCTCCTCTTCCAACATGACTGTACACCAGTGCACAAAGCAAGGTCCATAAAGACATGGAGGAGCGAGTTTGGGGTGGAGGAACCTGACTGGCCTGCACAGAGTCCTGACCTCAACCCGACAGAACACCTTTGGGATGAATTAGAGCGGAGACTGCGAGCCAGGCCTTCTCGTCCGACATCAGTGCCTGACCTCACAAATGCACTTCTGGAAGAAATGGTCAGACCTTCCCATAGACACTCCTAAACCAGCTATAACAGAGGAGGTGAAGCTGCAAAGGGCGGACCAGCTCATTATTGAACCGTACGGACTAACACTGACATGCCATTAACGTTCCTGTACGTGTAAATGCAGAAACAAGCAGCTATCACACAGTAATTACACTCGTCACATACTCCGTGCCGCCCATCCGAACACTCACACCCAGAACTACCAGCCATAATTCCTGCCAATGTCCCCGCCCCCACATCACGGCCAGCCAATCACCCCGCGTCTGACTCACACAGCGTTAGCATGAGACATAATCTGTAATTGGACACTCCTACAGTGCCTAACTCAGTGATTGGTTAGCGGGAAAGGTCGCAGTGATTGGTTCCCTGTGACAGCCTGGACAAGCTGATGGACCGGGGAAGTGTACCGGAGAGTTACAGAACTTCCGGTACGGGATTCCGCGTATCCAGTGAGGGATCTCATGTCGGCAGGTATTGTATGGAACGAAGTGACCGGGACAGACGTGGCTTATCGTGTATAAATAGCAGACGTGGACGTGTTGTCGTACCATCTGTGTCATGTGTCAGAGTAGCCTGTGCCTCTCCGAGCCGCGGAGTGACCCCTGATCGGTCTATCGGCGGTCATTGTTGCCAGGCGCTGAGTAGGAATCCGCAGTGTAGTGATCCGAATGGGGTCCTGATCAGAGCAGACTTTGTGTGCTACGCCCTCGGCTCCCTGTGTCTGATCACTGCTACAAGAACAGGTGTATGCTGGGGATTGTGTGTCCTCCTCACAGCCTAGACACCAGTGTGCTCCTGGGAGTGGGAACCCTGAGGGGGAGCTCTACCTGATCCCCATGGAAGAGAGCATGGATCACCAGGGACCAGTGTGCCCTGGGAGTGGGAACCCTGAGGGGGAGCTCTACCTGATCCCCATGGAAGAGAGCATGGATCACCAGGGACCAGTGTGCTCCTGGGAGTGGGAACCCTGAGGGGGAGCTTTACCTGATCCCCATGGAGCAGAGCATGGATCACCAGGGACCAGTGTGCCCCTGGGAGTGGGAACCCTGAGGGGGAGCTCTACCTGATCCCCATCATGGATCACCAGGGAGGAAGCCTTGCAGAGGGACCGTGCCCCTGGGAGTGGGGGTCATGAGCATGGAACCAGGGACCGTTGCTGGGAGTGGGAACCGCGAGGGGGTCATGAGGAAGCGTTGCATGGAGAGCGCAGGGGGGGTCTGGGAGTGGGAACCCTGAAGCTGATTGCAGATCACCAGCGGGGGTCATGTGGGAAGCGTTGCAGAGCGCGGGGGGTCATGAGAAGCGTTGCAGAGCGCGGGGGTCATGAGGAAGCGTTGCAGAGTCATGAGGAAGCGTTGCAGAGCGCGGGGGTCATGTGGAAGCGTTGGTGAGAGTGTGGGAGTCATGTGGAATCGTTGGAGAGCGCGGGAGTCATGAGGAAGCGTTGGAGAGCGCGGGAGTCATGTGGAATCGTTGGAGAGCGCGGGAGTCATGAGGAAGCGTTGGAGAGTGCGGGAGCATGAGGAAGCGTTGCAGCGAGGAGTCATGAGGAGAGCGCGGGAGTCATGAGGAGGAGAGCGCGGGAGTCATGAGAGAGAGCGCGGGAGTCATGAGGAAGCGTTGGAGAGCGCGGGAGTCATGAGGAAGCGTTGGAGAGCGCGGGAGTCATGAGGAAGCGTTGGAGAGCGCGGCGTCATGAGGAAGCGTTGGAGAGCGCGGGAGGAGCGTTCAGCGAGGAAGCGTTGGAGAGCGCGGGAGTCATGAGGAAGCGTTGGAGAGCGCGGGAGTCAGGAGGAAGCGTTGGAGAGCGCGGGACTCATGAGCATGAGGAAGTTTGGTGTTGTAAAATGCAGGAGTCGTGAGGAAGTGTTGCAGAGTGCAGGAGTAAGTAGTGGTACAGAGTTCAGGGCTCAGGAAGTACTGCAAAGTGCAGGGGCTCAGTGGTAACCGCACACGTAACGCAGTTTTCAGGGCTCAGTGGTAACGGCACACGTAACGCAGTTTTCAGGGCTCAGTGGTAACGGCACACGTAACGCAGTTTTCAGGGCTCAGTGGTAACAGCACAGGCAATGCAGTTTTAAGGGCTCAGTGGTGGTAACAGGGCACAGGTAACGCGGAGCTCAGGGCTCAGTGGTAATGGCACAGGTGACGCAGTGTTCAGGGGTCACGGGGGGTAGAAATTTGTTAAACAACTTGTCCAAGGGACTAAATTGGGGTCCCAATCTACATGTCCCTCATGACAATCTACTTGCCCCCCCCCCCTCCTACAAAGAGGACCTGCCACTTATATGCTTTCAGATGGGGGTCTATTGGTCCCCTATGTGATAGCATAATAATATAAAATAAAATAAAAAAATTAACACATTAAAAGTAAAAAAAAAAAAAATACAAAATTTGAGCCTTCCCATCCCCACATATGCAGACATTTTGGTTTTTGGCCAAGTGCATCCTGAATTTTTGGTTTTGGCACCAGAATTTTAATTTTGGTGCACCACCACTAGACAGAATAGATATAATGGCTGCATGCTTCACTAATTAAAGTGTGTATATAGCAAAAACTTTTTTTTTTTTTGATTAGATTAAGGAGTTAGAATGTGTCCTGGGAGATTTTTTAGGGAGGCAACAGGAAGTGAAGAAAATTCTTCAACGTGCAGATATATACACACTATATCGCCAAAAGTATTGGGGCACCCCTCCAAATCATTGGATTCAGGTGTTCCAATCACCCCCATGGCCACAGGTGTATACAATCAAGCACCTAGGCATGCAGACTACTTCTACAATCATTTGTGAAAGAATGGGTCACCCAGAAGCTCAGTGAATTCAACCATGGAACAGTGATAGGTTGTCACCTGTGCAATAAGCCACAAATTGGTAGGCCACGTAAAATGACAGAGTGGGATCAGCGCATGCTGAAGCGCACAGTGCGCAGAAGTCGCCAACTGTCTGCAGAGTCAATAGCTAAAGATCTCCAAACTTCATGTGGCCTTCAGATTAGCCCATCAATAGTGTGTAGAGAACTTCATGGAATGGGTTTCCATGGCCGAGCAGCTGCATCCAAGCCTTACATCACCAATGCAATGCAAAGCGTCGGATTTAGTGATGTAAAGCACGCCGCCACTGGACTCTAGAGCAATGGAGACGTGTTCTCTGGAGTTACCAATCACGCTTCTCTGTTTGGCAATCCAATGGATGTGTCTGGGATTGGTGGTTGCCAGGAGAACGGTACTTGCCTGACTGCATTGTGCCAAGTGTAAAGTTTGGTGGAGGGGGGATTATGGTGTGGGGTTGTTTTTAAGGGGTTGGGCTTGGCCCCTTAGTTCCAGTGAAGGGAACTCTTAAGGCATCAGCATACCAAGACATTTTGGACAATTTCATGCTCCCAACTTTGTGGGAACAGTTTGGGGATGGCCCCTTCCTGTTCCAACATGACTGAGCACCAGCGCACAAAGCAAGGTCCATAAAGACATGGATGAGCGAGTTTGGGGTGGAGGAACTTGACTGGCCTGCACAGAGTCCTGACCTCAACCTGATAGAACACCTTTGGGATGAATTAGAGCAGAGACTGCAGCCAGGCCTTCTCGTCCGACATCAGTGCCTGACCTCACAAATGCACTTCTGGAAGAATGGTCACACATTCCCATATAAACACTTCTAAACCTTGTGGACAGCCTTCCCAGAAGAGTTGAAGCTGTTCCATATATAGGTGACTTTGCAGTTCCAGGTAGGGGACGTGTGTGCCCTACCTGCGCTGCCAGTCGCGGCCTTGGCCTGGTGATTCCCCGCTGGTACCTGGTGATCTCCGAGGATTTCCGAGGGGGGGAGAGACCTGTATGGAAACAATACAGATATCTCCCCTGTCAGCTCCTGCACTCTGCTTTGTATGGCTCTGCCCTATAGCTCTCAAAGCAGTGAGCTTACAGTGAAAAACACACACACAGCCCACATAGTAAAACAGCACAAAGTTAACCCTTTGATTGCCCCTCATGTTAACCCCTTCCTGCCCAGTGCCATTAGTACAGTGTCAATGCTTTTTATTAGCACTGATCACTGTATTGGTGTCACTGGGGATGTCAGTGACACCAAGACAGTTCCCCCCAGTGTTAGAATGTCCGCCGTAGTCCTTTTGTAAGTCACTGATCCACGCCATTACTAGTAGAAAAAAAACATTCCTGTGTATATATACCGCCATTTGTAAACGCTATAGCTGTCACGTAAACCAATTAATTTACACGTATTGGGATTTTTTTTATCAAAGATATGTAGCAGAATACATTTTGGTCTAAATTTATGACAAAATTAGATTTTTGAAAAATAAAATATTACGGCACATGTTTAATTGCAAAAAGTAAAATTATAGAGTTTTTTTTTTTTCAAAATTGTCGGGTTTTTTTTTTGTTCATAGCTCAAAAATAATAAAAAAACCGCACGGGTGGTCATAATACTACCGAAAGAAATCTCTATTTGTGGGGAAAAAAGGACACAAATTTCATTGTCGGTTAAAGTAACGCAGCGCCATATCGCAAAAAATTGCCTGGTCAGGAAGGGGGGTAAATCCTCTGAAATGCAAGTGGTTAAATACCAAGAGTGCATCACATACAGAATGCAGAGTTTGGGGGGAGGTTACACACACAGAGAGCAGAGTTCAGGAGTGCGCTACACACAGAGAGCAGAGTTCAGGAGTGCGCTACACACAGAGAGCAGAGTTCAGGAGTGCACTACACACAGAGAGCAGAGTTCAGGAGTGCGCTACACACAGAGAGCAGAGTTCAGGAGTACGCTACACACAAAGAGCTGAGTTCAGGAGTGCGCTACACACAGAGAGCAGAGTTCAGGAGTGCGCTACACACAGAGAGCTGAGTTCAGGAGTACGCTACACACAAAGAGCTGAGTTCAGGAGTACGCTACACACAAAGAGCTGAGTTCAGGAGTGCGCTACACACAGAGTGCAGAGTTCAGGAGTGCGCTACACACAGAGAGCTGAGTTCAGGAGTGCGCTACACACAAAGAGCTGAGTTCAGGAGTGCGCTACACACAGAGTGCAGAGTTCAGGAGTGCGCTACACACAGAGTGCAGAGTTCAGGAGTGCGCTACACACAGAGTGCAGAGTTCAGGAGTGCGCTACACACATAGTGCAGAGTTCAGGAGTGCGCTACACACAGAGTGCAGAGTTCAGGAGTGCGCTACACACAGAGTGCAGAGTTCAGGAGTGCGCTACACACAGAGTGCAGAGTTCAGGAGTGCGCTACACACAGAGTGCAGAGTTCAGGAGTGCGCTACACACAGAGTGCAGAGTTCAGGAGTGCGCTACACACAGAGTGCAGAGTTCAGGAGTGCGCTACACACAAAGAGCAGAGTTCAGGAGTGCGCTACACACAAGAGAGCAGAGTTCAGGAGTGCGCTACACACAAAGAGCTGAGTTCAGGAGTGCGCTACACACAGAGCAGAGTTCAGCCTTCTTCCACAGCTGCTTACCTCTGCATCCCCCATCCACATCTCACTTTCACCCCTCTTCAGCTCCAACCTCTGTATGCCCCCACCCTCACCATCTTCCACTTGTCTTACTTTTGTTGCTGTGTTAAGCTGAAGCACCCAGCTGACTCTTGTACCTCCCTGCGCACTGTAGGTGGCTGTGCGTCTATCACTTGCAGGGAGATCATCCAGAGGGGGGTGTCAGCATCCACACTGCACCCTGGGCACCTGCATCTCCCTTATTCCCATCTTGCACTTGGTGGGAACCACTCAGGAGATCAGATCTGTTGGAGCTGTTGGGAGACAAGCTGGACTTCTATGTTATACAGGTGATAGTGGTGAGCAGAGGGCCTGAGCCAGAAGTGGTGCAACTGAGTTCCACCAAGTTCCAGCTGAAAACAAGCCCTGACTGTAGATGATAATATATTTAACCCCTTGCCTACCAGGCACTTATACCCCCTTCCTTACCAGGCCAATTCTCAGCTTACAGCGCTGTTGCATTTTGAATAACAGTTGCGTGGTCATGCAACATTGTACCCATATGAAATTTTTATAATTTTTTTTCTCACAAATAGAGCTTTCTTTTGGTGGTATTTACTTGCTACTGGATGTTTTACTTTTTGCGCTATAAACAAAAAAAAGAGCAAAACATTTGAAAAAAAAAATGTCTTTTTTTCTATTATAAAATTTTGCAAACAGGTAATTTTTCTCCTTCGCTGATGTGCGTTGATGAGGCTGCACTGATAGGCAGCACTGAAGGGCACTGATAGGTGGTACTGATGAGGTGGCATGGATAGTCAGCACTGATGGGCACTAATGAGGTGGCACTTATGATGGGCACTGATAGGCTGAAGGGCACTGATAGGCAGCACTATTTATTATTATTATAGTACAGGTTTTATATAGCTAATGAGGTGGCATGGATAGGTGGCACTGATAGGCGGCATTGATGGGTACTGATAGCGGCACTGAAGGGCCCTGATAGGCAGCACTAATGAGGTGGCACTGATAGGCAGCACAGATGGGTACTTATAGTGGGCACTGATAGGCAACACTGAAGGGCACTGATATGCAGCACTGATGATGGGTACTGATAGCACTGATAGACAGCACAGATAGTCAGCACTGACTGGTGGCACAGACTGGCGGCACTGATGGGCTCAGATGGGTGGCACTTCTGGGCCCAGGAGGCGGAACTGGTGGATGGCACTGCTGGGCACGATCATCAGTGCCGATCCCTGCTCTGACAACTGCCGGTTCTCGGCAGTACTTTCCTCATGCTCTGACAGCATGAGGAAAGTGCAGCCGAGAACTGGCAATTGCATTTCCCTGTGATCAGTGTGTCATTGGACATGGCTGATCAGTGGTAGAAGGCCGCTGTGGTTGGCCTTTTACCACATCACGTGATCAGCTGTGTCTGTAGGACACAGCGTTCGTCGGGTGCGCGCCCCCTGGGGCGCTCAGGAGAGCTCGTTCTGGGAGGACCTCATATGACGCCCTCCCAGAACTGTCCGTCCGCAGTGCAGCCGTCATTCAGCTATCTGTGGTCGGCAACTAGTTAAAGTCTTTGCAATTTTACATTGAGGAACATTATTCTGACATTTGACAATTTTTAGACACAACCTTTTATAGATTGGGGAACCTCTGCTTGTCTTTACTTTTGAGACTTAGGGAGGTTGATTTACTAAAGGCAAATATACTGTGCACTCACAAGTGCAGTTGTGCTAGATCTGAGGGGAAGCTCTGCTGATTTCTATCATTCAATCCCGTGCTAGCAAAAATGCTGTGTTTTTTTTTCATTTTCCTTGCATGTTCCCCTCAGATCTAAAGCAACTGCACTTGCAGTGCACAGCCTATTTGCCTTTAGTAAATCAACCCATTTGGGTATAAAAGATGCATTTTAGAGAATCAATCATGTTACTGACCTGTTGCCAATCAACCTAAGTAGTTGCAAAAAGTTCTTCTAGCTCTTCCTTGTTAATATCATTTAATTTTCCAGTTTTTGTTGCCCTGTCCCAACTTTTTTCAGACATGTTGCTGCCATCAATTTCAAAATGACCTTATTTTTTTTTCTAAAATAGTAAATTTTCTCATTTTAAACATTTGATATATTTTCTGTTGTGAATAAAATATGGGTTTATAAGATTTGCAAATCATTGCGTTCTGTTTTTATGTAGATTTTACATATAGCATCCCAACGTTTCTTTGGAATTGGGGTTGTATTATGTACATGTATGCTGTGTGTGTGTATATGTGGGTATGTATAAATATATTTATTATACCTCAAATTGTAAAAAACCGTTTAAAAGAATACAGTTGGGAGAATATTTTCAGTGTTGCACAAGAAGTCTCCTTTACTATGATCATATGGAAATGTGAAAATCTTTTAAGAATCCCCACTTATCCTCAGCCCTCCCCTGACACACGTATGCAGCTTTATGTCGCAGTGTAATAGTACATGTTTGTATTTCCACCACAGCAAGCAAGATGCAGATGTGACACTGAAAGAGGAAGTAGGATGTACACCTGAAAGTACACAACAGTTAGAACCTGAATTTCTGAACTGTGCTATAGATGTGTCATCGTTTAAAGAAACAAACCCCATCATCTCTGCAAATAACAGAGGACCTGATATAGAAAATGGGTGAGTCTATCATTTGGACGTAGTGGAAAGTGTGACAGATTTGGCTACTTAGTGGAAACATTTTTATCCATGAGCTTGTCTTGCATTAATGTTTGTTTGTATGGGACAGAAACAAACTGGGAAGTTAAAGCTGACCACCAGCCAAATCTTTGTTTGAGCGTTTCAGAAAGCATTAGAATATCCATACAGGTTTTTTTTTTTTTTTTTTTCGCAGTGTCCCAATTTTTTTCAATTCCTGTTTAACCCCTTGGTGCTGAACAGGGGCGGACTGACCATTTGGAAACTCGGGCACTTCCCAAGGGCCCAGGGTCAGTAGGGGGCCCCATGAGATGCCCCTGGTACCTTTTTCATAGGCTTTTTTGAGTTTGGGCAAGGACACAGGGGCCCCATGATCCCCTATTGTCCAAGGGCCCCATGAGTTGTCAGTCCGCCCCTGGTGCTGAATGTACACATATATAAAGCCCCACTGGACTGGGCTTTTTTCCACGGGGCCGCATATATGCTTACCTGCCTTTGTGCTGTACAACACACTCTCAGCACAGAGACCGGGGTTCTCATCGGGAGCACAGAGACCGAGGTTCTTATTGGGAGCACCGAGTCCCGTACTAATGATCGGGACCAGGAACTCCTTGTTCTAGGTCACCTGATCACTGTGATAGCCTCTGATTTGCTGTCACAGTGATCAGTCACTGTGAAGCCCACCCCTCTGTTTCTCTCTCTGTGATTGGAGAGGAGATATACATTGTATTTGTATCTCTCTCTCTCTCTCTATGCTTGCAAAGTGAGAAAAATAAATGTGTGTAAAAACTAAATAAAATAAAGAACAAATACCTAGATCAAGGTTTGATCTTGGTCATTACCAGGGTTAGGGCAGTATATTTTGGGCAGGATTAAAAAAAAACGTTTAAATCATTATCAGTGTCCGTTAGTGTCAGTGTGTTTTTAGGTAGGATAAAAAACAAAATGTGCACTATTGTTTCTGGGCCCCTTACTATGGGTATAAACAACAAATAACATTCACATATGTGGTATCGCTGTGATCGTCGGGAGCAGGAGAATTTATTTTGGGTTGTTCTTTGGTGGTAGGTTATGGTAGTAACAAGAAATATATACAGATAGATTAAAAACATATTTTTTTTTCTATATTGGACCAGTTTTTCTTTGATAATAAAAAAAAAAAAATCAGGAGATATCCATCACCATTTACCACCAAATGAAAGCCCAATTTATATGGTTTTACAAACAGGTCATAGTTGCAAAATTGTGCTTAGGCATTAACAATTGTTTTACCATAAGGTATGAAGGGGTTAAGAGACACAACAAGAAATGAGTGGGAAATCCCACCTTTGACAGTTGTCATTTCTGGCCTGGTGACAGTGGCATGGATCACCACAATGGGGCCACAAACAGCAGCAAACAATTAAAAAAACTAAAACAGGTTCTAGCCCTTCTCGCTCCATCCACAAATTGATATTGGCTGACGTTTTATGTTAATTCATTATATAATTATCTGTAAAATTTTAAGTTTGAATGAGGGAAAGGAAAGTAAAAGACAAATAGGCAGATCAATTAATAAACAGGATGGATGCAAGCTTAGATATCGGTCTGTTTGCTGTATATCATACGCTGAGCTCTCGGTTGGCTTTTGTGACAGTATTTGGCTAGATTACATCCCTTTAGAGTTTTTGAAGGATGGATTAAATAAATCTACACTCTATTGTATTTGATGGAAACAACGCTTTGCCTGCATCTTGCAATTCAAGTTCTTTCACAACTTCTAGTGTGTAGGAGTAGGAGGCATGTATTTAAAGGATTGACACCTTGGCTTTATATATCATAGATCTGCATGCTTGCTCTAGTATGCAGTAATCTGTTTTAGCTAATCAGATTTTAATCTTTCTGCAGGTTCAGTGACTGGTTACATAATTGCCTGGGATATGGCTTCTTTTTATGTGGATCTGTGAATTTTTTTGGTTTAATTGCTGTTTCATATATTCCTAATTATATATCATTTTTGTTTTTTAATTTAGGGGAAAATCTCATAATCTTGACCCTGGAGAGGCTTGCACTTACCAGCATCCACAAGTAATGGCCTGTGATCCCCAGAATACTGCTGTTGTGGATGTAACCGAAAAAAGGGGTTCAGGCATAACTTCATTGGTAGCTGATGAAAATGCAGATATGATGATCCTTCCTGAATGCTGTAAGAGGTCCAGATTGGTTACAGAACCCCAGCCTCTTCGGATTGATGGGTAAAGCATTTTGATAGCTTTGTTTTCTCCTCTATAAGAAATAACACACATAAACAATATGGCCAAAGGTTAGTAGATAATTGACCATTACTTCTATATGCGCTTGCCTCAGGACATCACACTACAAGTGAAGTTGCCCCCCTTTTGCAGATATAACAGCGTATAATCTCCTGGGAAGTTTGTGTGTGTGTCTTGAAATGAGCTGCAGTCTGCAACTCAACTCCTTGTAATGTATCCAAATTTTGTCAATGCCTACTTACTAAATGCAGTGTTTCCAAGCATCTTGACTTGTGCAGGGATCACTCCTCTGGTGTGTATGTATGTAGTGGCGAATTTCATTTTTGTGAAAAAAATTAATTTAAAACAATCTTAATTACATGTTAATGTAATTTTAAATACATATATTTTTACCTATCAAAGTATTTGTTTTGCCTGTTAAGTCCTTGTCGGACAACATATCCTTAGCTTCCAGTGCAACAGCAGCAGGGTGGATAAAAATCAATGATTTTTAAAAAAAAAATTAAAAAAATCGGATTTTTTTTATTTAAATCGTTTTTTTTTTCATTTAAATCGGATTTTTTTGAATAAAATGCTTTTTGAGGAAAATATATTACCATCCATAGGTTATTCCATCATGAAATAAATATTCGTTTTTTAATTATGTAGAATAAGGCTGTATATGTTTAATTTTTTTGGTAAATAAATTCCATGAATCCATTCACAATGTCATGCTCTTCCAGAGGTTTTTGTAAGATTATTGGGCAGTTTCTCTGCCTACAAGATACTATCACAGATGCTTGGTTTACTTTTGCAGTTCTCAAAACTGAATTTGTTCATGTTATAACATTTTTGCTGTGAAGAAGAGGCATGTGATCTCCACTGAGTCAGAGTTAAGAAAAAGACCTTAATCCTAACTTCTACAAACCTAGGAATACAGAATCAACCCCTTCAGTGCTAAGTTTCAAGAAGTTCAGTGAATAGAATAGAAACAATATTTTTCTGATTGTTTGGAGTGGAATAGATCTGCACAAGAAGAAAGTGAAACTAAGTGTGAGGCGGAAGGGGCTGACAGTCTAAGTTTCTTAAAAATATATATATTTTGTTTAGCCAAATTAGTTAACAAACATGGATGTTTGTTTAAGCAAATAACATATGCTGGAATGTTATTGTTTCAGTTGAATAAATCTATTTAAATTGTTATTATTAAGGTAATGATTATTTTTCTCCTACAGAAAAGTTGTCCAAATACGAATGATTAACCTATTAAACTGGGGATAAAAAAACTAATATGAAAAGTTGTTATTCTAAAAATCTTCATTCTACTTGCATAATAAAGTTATACCAGCAAGAATTAGTCTTTATGTAGAAAACTAGGATTTAAATCAGCCTTACTGACTAGTGATTTAAATCGTGATTTAAATCACGATTTAAATCAGTTTGATTTAAATCAAATCCACCCTGAACAGCAGCATGTCACTCTGCTTTACTCTGTTATCACCATGATCCCTGTCAGCACATGCAATACAGAGCCCCCAGTCTGCTGTAAAAGGGATTAAAAGAGACTACGAGGTTTATAGGGTAACTCGACTTTTGTGGGAGAACAAAATTGACAAAATAAAAATATAATATAGCATATACCATTGCGATTCAACTCATGTTGTCATTGGATGTTATAAAAAAATATTGTTTCTGTTTTAATCTGCAGCACTGTAATATTCTGTAAAATGCAATGCAATATGGACTACCTGGAAGCGTTCTGTACACAGATGGAGTACACAACACCCCTTGAAAATGTCATTTTCTGTTTGAGTGATTGGCTTACTGATTTTCCCAGAAGTGTACACTAAGGGCTCATTCACACTTGACTGTTTTTCCAACTCTTGCCAAACGCCCCTATAGCATTTGACAAGCGTTGGTCCGGCGTTTGCAGAGCGTTTTTAACGCTCGGCAAACGCCGCATGCGCGGTTTAGCGGCGGTTGCTAGCCGTTTGCCAAGCATTAAAAACACCCCACAAACGCCTATAATGAAGTTTGAATGATGTTACCGCTCCGCAAACACCTCGCAACCGCACTGCAAATGCCCGGTTTGCGGAGCGGCACCATAGACTTGAATAGGAGGCTTCAACTCCTCCTAACTCGACCAGAGGCGTCCGTTTTGCCGCAACGCAATGCGACACTAACGCTCCCATATGAACAGCACTATGTGCTGCAATGTGCAGAATTTTCCCAGGCGTTTGGGAAATGGTAAAAACGCTTCCCAAACGCCTGTCTGCCGCTTGCTAACAAGGCTAGTGTGAACGTAGCCTAAGTTATGTCAGATTTTTGGCATCCCGTGCAACAAATTGTCATTTTTTTTGGTGAGATACTCCCAACGGGAAATCACATCTAAAGGGATACAGACATTGCCATGTTCCTCAACAGAGTCCTGCAGGTGCAGCAGCTGATTCATAATCATAAACCCCTCCAATACAGATTCACTCTGCATATGGATACAGACAAACAGCTTTTGTTTCAGAATAACAAAAAGGTAGGAATCTGCAACAAAGTTTGTTAAAATCCTTACAATCTACATAGATTACTCAAAGGAGAATGTTTTTTTTTTATCAACCAAAGTGGAGTTACTCTTTAATGAAATTTTAGATCCTTACACTAGTTTTATTTTTTATTCTTTTTTTGCTGCATACATATTTGTATTAGTTGATATTGCAAATATCAGCTTGACGTTCAGTGTTGATGAGGAAAATGATTGTCCTATTTTGTGAGTCATGGTGATTTGTGTAATGGGTAGGGCCGATACATATTATAGACAGGATGTCTGAGTATTTAAAGTGTAGATCAAAGCTCCATAATGAAAGCTTGCTTCGTAATGGGTGTGGTTAGCACAAAATTTTTAGCTAGTACGAAATGGCATTTAGGTCTCCTAGATTGTAAGCTCAAAAGAGCAGGGCCCTTGATCCCCTCATGTTTTGCATTGTATTGGTATTGTTCTGTCACATGTTCTGTCTCCCTTTGTAATGTACAGCGCTGAGCGAACTATTGGCGCTTTATAAATACTGTATTATATAATAATAATAATAATAATAGGTTTAATTTGTGTAACACTTATTTTGCCAAAGGAATTCTTGTATGAATTAGATTTAACACACCATAATCCAAAATATTAGAGTATAATTAAAGGCAAAAGTTTTTTTGAAAATTTTGGACAGAGTGCAGAGGGATTAGAACGCTTATCAGTTTGTATTGCTGTCTGTATCTTCCCTGTTTGTCCTTTTTACTATTACCACTGAAATTAAAAGTAAAAGAAAATCCCGAATTTTGGGTTGTCCCCAGAAAAGTAATAGATGGAAACTTTTCCAATGGGGACACTAGTTCTGGTGACCTGGGGCTCCCAAGGAATTCCCTTAACCTCCCTGGCGGTATGATTATTTCAGATTTTTGGTGCTGAAAGCGGTACCATTATTTTGCATGGAAATATGTCGTTTTTTTATTATTTTTTTAATACAGTAACAATACAGTTCAATACACGAGGGATAGGAGAGCCCTGCTCCTTGGAGCTTACAATATAGGAGGGAGGGGAGTGATAATGATTCGTGGGGAAATTCGTCATCAGACACTGAAAACGATTTTGCGACTAAGCTCAGGGATGTGTGAACATGGCGCTCTATTTCAAATTTCAGTGTTTTTGGTTTGATTACATTATTGAATTAAATGTATTATTATTATATTATTTTTTATGATTATTTATTATATTACTTATGATTTCGTGTTTCAGATTTTATCATACCTGGGATGTTTACTAGACTCTTGTTCGGACAGATTTCAGTGAGTTATTCCAAAGAATTAGGCCTACAATAAAAAAACAACCTATTTCCATGCAAAAAAAATGTACCGCTTTGAGCACAGAAATACTAACATAATCAGACCGCTAGGGAGGTTAAAAGCAAAAAGTCGAAAATATTGTTTTTTTTTTTTTCTCAAAAATGTTGTTTTTTTTTTTTTTAAAGCCGCACAAAAAAAAAAAAACACACAGGCTATCAAATATGACTAAAAGAAAGCTCTATTCATGGAAAAAAAGGACGTAAATTTTATTTGGGTGCAGCGTTGAATGACTGCGCAATTGTCAGTTGAAGTAACGCAGCACTGTATCGCAAAAAATGGCCTGGTCAGGAAGAGGGGTAAGTCCTATGGAGGGCAAGTGCTTAAAATGCAGTTTAAACTTTGGACAATTCAAATGTTTTGGCCTGGGCGTCACTGTCAAACTGCAGTATTCTTGATGATCACATCTCTTTTACATAGGGCTGCGTGTCATTACCACCTGAGATTGATTCCCTTCACATCTTGTGACAATGCACATTTGTTGGGTGTTGTATTGTGAATGGTTTTACACTAAGAGCTTGACAATTGTATGCAGACTTTGGTTTGTTGTAAAGGAATGCATGATACCTCCATTATAGAGCAATGAACATATTATGTAAAATAAATAATTGGCACACCATATTCTTACAGTTGCACATTAATGCCACATGATCATCTAAATCCTTTGCCTATGGGATTTTTTATTCCTCCATGATGTACGGGATCATACATGCACGTGCTGCAGTGAACATATGTAGAATTTCAGAGTGTACTCTCCAGTATCTGAACCTATGCTGGCTGAATGATGAGCTTAAAATCAAAATGAGACTTTTCTGTATAGTTTCTGAGTCTACCTCAGCACTGTTACCATTTTCAGATGTACATACCATGTATGAAGTGCACAGGGCAATCGTTAAAGGAGCCTGTAAAAGAAACAAAAAATGATACAAGGTTCCACATTATGGTACTATCGGATTTATATTTATACGGATTCCAAACAGTGACTTTCATTTCACAGCATAGCGCACAAGTTTTTTTATTTTTATATATGCTTTTTAGCTTGTCTTCTACACATTTCATGGCTTAGGGCTCGTTCACACCATGGTGCAGAGACATCAGTTTTTCTGCATGCATTCTTCAAGCGCACAACAAAATGAATTGTTCTCTATGTGACCTGTTCACATCACAACACTAGTATCACATGCATATTTTTTCTGTGCAGGAATCTGCAATGTGTATAAAACTCATTGAAGCGTGCATGAAAACTGATGTCTCTGCAAGTTAAATCTGCTTGTCAGTTTCCATCAGTTTTTCTGCACGTATGGTGTGAATGAGCCTTTAGCCCTGGTTTACACTGAACGCGACTTTAAAATTGCACTACTTCACTTGCAGTAGCGTGCGTGATTTCAAAGCTGCAGATCAGTGCGATTTGTACCGGGGATTGCACTGCGGATTAGAACTTTGTTTAATAGAAGTCAATGCAACTCGCAATGAAAAAAGTAGCAAAGGAACCATTTTTAAAATCAGGCTCCTTCAAATTGCACTGAATAACATAGAAATACATTAGATGTGACTTCAGGTGTGAAATCGCATGTCGCACCGGTGTGAACCAGGGATTAGTGTTGCAGTCACTTATATTTTCTTAGCGAATATAATACTGTATTTTGTTTGTAGTTTTTAATTAAAAAAAAAAAAATGATATGGACATTATGGGGTTTATTTACTAAACCTGGTTGACTCAGAATCTTGTCCACTTCTGCATAAAAACCAATCAGCTTCCAGGTTTTATTGCTGAAGCTTAACTGAACATGCTGAGGTTAGAAGCTGATTGGCTACCATGCACAGGTGCCCAAGATTCTGAGTCAACCAGGTTTAGTAAATAAACCCCTATGTGTTACAATTTATAAAAAACTGGGCATAAAATAAACTTTTTTACAAACATGATATTGTTGTATGATCAGCTAGAAAGGTTTTGAGATCATAATCGAGCATATTTATTCACAGACTCACAAGACAGTGGCTTTCTTGTGGTTTTTATTCTTGCACAGTAGGAATTCTTACTGCACATGGGTACTGTTTTGCTAAAGGATGTTTAGTTTTGTGTAGCCCCACTTGTGATCTTGCTACCACTGCCAGGCACTAGAACCAGGGCTGGGGCCTCCACTAAAGCCACATGGCAACTTCTGCTCTGGACATTGATGGGGTTTTAGCATGTCCACTGTAAACACGTGCCCTGCTGTAGATTCTAGTCCTGCCCCCCCCCCCCTCAAGCTGCTATACAAGCGAGAAATGATGCGCAGATAATGAGAACAAAGCTGTAAGAGAAACTGTTACCAGTAAAAGGAGGGGAAACTCCTTTAAAAAGTGAGATATGCGCAGATAATTATATAGTAATACATAAAAAATTAGGCAACATAAACTTTGTTGCTCAGTTCTAAATAAAGAGCCAGTAACACTATTACATGGGAGAGTGGTGACTTCAGATTTCGACTAAGAAAGCAGCCAGCAGGGACACTTTGCATTGAATGTAACTACTGTCCCTTGTGCTGATTACAAAAAAAATTGCTAAACTTATGCAGGCCATAGGTGGGTTGTAAATCGGCCGATTTTTTGGCCAAAAAAAAAATTGGCCGATTTTCACACCGTTAATGGGTTAATTGGTCGGCAGTTTTTTTGGATTTTGGCACATTTTTTTAATCGGTAAAGTTGGAAAAAAATCGCGGCAATGATGGGCAAATCGGCCGATCTTTTTACCAATAAAAAATCTGCGCATGAGCTGTGACCTGCAAGAAAAAGAAGAATTCCAGTCCGCTATTATATTTGACATGAAAAAGTATTGCGGTTGCAACAATGTATCCATTTGTATCCAAATAAAACATATGTATCCAAAATGGATACAAATAGATACAATGTTGCAACCTCAATACTTTTTAATGTCAAATATAATAGCGGAGCTCTCTGCAGGGACAGAAGTAATTAAATGCCGGCCGTAGACGGAACAAAAATCGGCTGATTTTTTTTTTTTTTACCAATGGTGGTAACGTCGGCCTATTGAACGACCAGTTTTTTTTGTTTTTTTTTAAACAGCCGGTTTTTGACCCATCTATGGCCTGCATTAGGATTTAAGTTTGTTATATCCAGATAAATTTGGTGGTTTAATCTTGAAAGATTCCTTTTAAATTCTTTGTGCAAGTTCATCACTACCATTACAGCATGCTGAATGACAGAGTTTATTAGATGCAGAAAAGGAGAAGCTCCTATTGCATCATAGGATTTCAGCTTTTATTCTGCTTTTGGTTCATCTATGTCATGCGGGGGGGGGGGGGGGCGGGTGTTGAGGGAGCATTCTATTAATATTATTTTTTTTATTGCTTGAAATCAAGTGACTTTTTTGTGTCCATGGAAATAATGTTTTGGGTTTTTTTGCAGTTAGTACTGTTATGTAGCCAGTTGAGATGCAGTGTGCTTTTCAGAGTTCTTCAAGGAAGAATGTAAAGATAAAAAAGCATGCATTATCTATAGCACAGGAACAGTTACAAAGGGTAACCATATTAAATGAAAGTTGTTTTAGGTCACTATTTTACTTTAACTGCTTGAGTAGGGTTACAAGCAGATTTCTTTTAATACCAAATAACAACAGATGTGAGCTTAGTCCTCGGGATCACAACAAGCTTGTGAACTATTTAATAGTGGACATTAAGGGATCAGCTACCGGTATTAACTAGAATACTATGTATGGGTCTAGGTTCTCAGCCTTTGTTTTTATCATACAGTTGATCTTGGTATAAAGTAACATAAAAATATATGTATTCTACAAGAAATGCGTTTTATTTGGACACATAATAGATTTCAATGTATCCTGTCTTTTTCCATTCCTTCTTAGAGATAGAGCGTTGAGGAATCCTGGTTCAGTATGTGAGCTTCAGCCAGTGACAGATGTCTCGCTGATATCCAATAAGTGTGAAGACTCTAAAGCAGACAGTGGAGAAGAATATGAAGATGCACAAGCATCAAGTCATTTGTTACCAAAGAAACCAGAAAATGATATCTCTGAGCTTTTAAGTCAAAATGTTCAAGACGGGGCCAGCACTTTTCAAACTACTGAAACAACTTCAGAAAGTGAAGATGGTCCAGTTCAGCCACGTACCTTAGGAAAAACCGTTATGTCTGTGGAAATGTGAGTATTCAGGCTTGAATTGGTTCGCCAGATGCGGTTGTTGGATTGTCAGAAGAAATTTTACAAATATTGTGGGTGTAGTTGAGGAATACGGGAGAGGCAGGTCACTGATAACAAAGCAGTTTTTGTTAAAGTGTAACTGCACTTTAAGTGCAGTTTAATTTCTTGCTAATTCCCCACTCCACCCCCTTGCCAGTCTTTTACTCACCTGTATTCTATTCAGCAAGATGTCGGCTGTGCACTCTGGTCTGCATTGCTCAATGTCCTGTTGAAATTGTGGGCTTGGACATGTGGGTTCATACTTCATGCTCTGGTTTTGTACAAACTCGCTGTAAAATTGAAGGGTGTGGCTGGCATGCGTGGCCCCAGCACAGAAGATTGCTGTGCAGCCACACAGCCACTTGCTACTTGAAAAGACTTGACTGGCCCAGATATAGGTGAATATAAGACTGATAGAAGGCCTGTGGTTGGTTAGATAAATAAGAGTGATTGCACTGAAAGTTTTAAAGGATCAGACCACCCAAATGCCATATCAGTTATAGGTGGGATTTAGTAGGTTGTGTTGGCTTCTTTGGTTCTGCACTCACCTGAACTTTACTTCTGCTGCAAAAACTGTGTTTTTACTACACCTGTTGGCATGTTCTGTAATGTAACAGAAATTAAAGGATTCCAGGCATGGCTATATTAGCCCGGGTTCACATATATGTGAGCCGGTTTAGACTGTGTGATTTCAGCCCCATCCGGTGCGACTTTGTTCAGCGGTTCAGGTGCAAACTCTTAAAGTGTATGACACTGGAAGTCGCACCTGAACCAGGATGAAAAATCGTACCAGACCCTTTTGGAGCTCGCGCTGCAGCCGGCCCGCACATATATGAACTAGCTCCATTGAAAAGGCTGCAGGTTCACATGTCATTCGAAACAGATGCTGTTCAAAATGCATCCAATTCGCATATATGTGAACCAAGGCTTATACTGCATATAGTTACATTGGTCCAGCTTAGCTGGACCTATGTAATCACTTATATGCCATACCTGGCCAAGGCCCCATGGAAATCAGTGGAGTAGTCACAGCTATGCTAGTGATCGCCATTTGCTTCTGGGTCCTGTGCTGAGTGGCTTGCCTGATGCATTGTGAGCAAAGAAGGTCAAGAATGGCTCAGAACTTGAGCCATTTGGAAAATGCTTTACATTTTCTTTTTTTTTTTTTTTTTTTCGTTTCATAAACTCTTATTGAATCATCAATGAACCGTGTACAACTTCAATAGTACAATAATCCAGAATTGGATTAACAAATGCAGAGTATCAATGAAAAGAGTAAACATTTCACAGAGGTTGGATTAACAGTTTCCAAGCAATTGCAAGGTTTCAAGCAAAGTAAAATGTCATTGATGTTGCAGTTGCCCACAGTATATTTTCAAAGCGAGAAAGAAACATGAAAAATACCGCAAAGTGTTCTCTATTGGACAAGGCGGAGAGCTTGATGTCACCGTCCCACCACATCCAATCAGAGAACACTTTGTGTTCTTTCAAAAAAATGATGAGCGTAACCTGCCTTCAGTAAGACCCGGAAACAAGTGGAGGTCATTAAATTAGTGATGTCTGCATTGATTTCCAGTTTCCAAGTGCATCGGCCAAGTGTGGTGCATATACATAGTTACATTGGTCCAAATTAGATCAATGTAATTCCGTATAATATAGCCATGCCTGGAATTCTTCTTTAAAGATCAAGTTGGGGATTATACCCTCATATCTGACATGGCAGACTTTTGAACTTAACTGCAAAGATCACGCTACAAGGGTCCCAAGAGACACATGAACCTCATTTAATTATCTGGGATCTACAAAAACAGAATATACATTATGATAATATTCAACCCAATGTTGCTTGGTTTACTGTAATTTAGCCTCTGAAATTTGTTATTAGAGATGAAGACATTTATCGAGATGAAGAGGAAATTGAAAAAGAAAAGACAAAGAAAGGAGCACCTGTGTGTGAACAAATCCCTAAAGGTAATACGCTTTTCATATTTCTTACATTTGAACAGTGCTTTTATTAACATCATGGCATAGGCTTATTTACAAAAGAAATCCGGTAAGCAATCAAGACTGATTTAATGAACTTACTGGAATGTAACATGGATTGTTGCCATTTACTATTGTTTTACACTAAACACTTTCCACTTCCTTATACAGAATCCTGAGTATGTAATGTATATTTTCCAGCTGCCACTGCATCATATGAATTGACAGTTCACTTAACATACAGCAGACCTAAGGAAGCTTCTTTTGTTTAATCAGAGTAGCATTTTTATTCTGGTTTACACCTGCTAAGCCGTGACATGCAGAGGATGAATTGGTTTAGTTGTGCACACTTATTGCAGTCTTGTTCTAGTAAGCTGCATGACAGAGGAGTGAGTGACAGCTGGTACGGCCCCCTCCTTTGAGAGCAAAGACATGCCTGTCTGTAGCAGATAAGGTAATCATCACAGGGAGGAGGTACTCGGCTATAGAACAGAATGCTAAATCCACTGCAATGTTTAGACCATTATTCCTCTATGCCCTGTTATGATAATAATGTGGGAACAGCAAGGCAAATGTGGTAGTAGCAATTACTGATGGTCAACCTGAAAGTGTATTTCCACTTTTGCAGAAATATTTGAGAAAACCCCAGTATGTTTGTATGTTTCCATCCATATAGCACACCTAAAATAATAACAGAATACTGTGTATGTATGTGTGTGTGTGTATATATATATATATATATATATATATCACACACACACACACACAGTATTCAGCGATTGCAAACAAGATTTGTTGTTTTTTACACACAAAAAAAGTATTTTTCCTAACAAATTCATTCCAGACCATGCTGCAAAAATGAATACACCTCAATGAAAGTCTTAGAAGCAAAGCTAAATGTTAGATGACAAAATACTAATTAACTAGTGAGTCTAATTATTCATTAAACAGGTGTCCAGCAAACAGTTGATTACAAAAGGGCATTACTTAAAGAAAATATCAGCAATGGCACCACATGGAAGAGAAATGTCACTGAGAAAATAATTTCTTTACACAAGAAAGGAAAACACTACAAGAAGATTAGCAAAGCTTTAATTATTAGTCAGAATGCTGTAGCAAAAGTGATACAAAAATTTAACAGAGATGGAACTGCAACCATCTTACAGAGACATCCATGCCGTCCACGGAAGTTAACAACTCGACAGGAGCGTCTTCTGATGCAAAATGTTGAAGGAAATCGCTATGCAAGTTCACTGCAGTTAGCTAAAGAAGTAGAAAGCCAAACTGGGGTGATTGTTCCCCATGACACAATACGGCGTACACTGCAGGGGAATGACACGCATGTGTGTCATCCACGAACGAAGCCTCTCCTAAAGACCATGCACAAAAAAGCCAGCATAGAATTTGCCAGGGCCCATGCTGAAAAAGAAGACTACTGGGACTCTGTACTCTGGAGTAATGAGACCAAGATAAAGGTTTTTGGAACTGACGGCTTCAAAACTGTATTGCATCACAAAGATGAGGAGTACAAAGTAAAATGCATGGTGCCTACAATGAAACATGGTGGTGGCAGTGTCCTTCTGTGGGGCTGCATGAGTGTTGCTGTTGTCAGGTAGCTGCATTTCATTGAAGGTATCATGAATTCACAGATGAACTGCTCTATATTGAAAGGGAGGATGCTGCCATCATTCCGTGCCCTTGGTCATCGTGCACTTTTCCAACAGGACAATGATTTAAAACACACATCTAAGGCCACTAATGCATTTTTGAAGAACAGGAAAGTGATTCAGTGGCCAAGTATGTCTCCTGATCTGAACCCAATAAAACACCTATGGGAAATTATGAAGAGACACGTTGAGTATCATTCTCCATCCAGCATCCAGGCTCTTACAGAGGTCGCTTTTGAAGAATAAAAAAAAGAGATGTTGCAATATGTAACCAACTTGTTAATTCCATGTCTAGAAGACTTGGTGCTGTCCTTACAAATCATGGAGGGCATACAAAATACAGTGCCTTGAAAAAGTATTCATACCTCTTGAAATTTTCCATATTTTGTCATGTTACAAGCAGAAACGTAAATGTATTTTATTGGGATTTTATGTAATAGACCAACACAAAGTGGCTCATAGTGGTGAAGTGGAAATAAGATAAATGGCTTTCAAAATTTTTTACAAATAAACATCTGAAATGTGTGGCGTGCATTTGTATTCAGCACCTCTGAGTTAATACTTTGTAGAACCACATTTCACTGCAATTAAAGCTGCAGGTCTTTTCGGGTATGTCTCTATCAGCTTTTCACACCTAGAGAGTGAACTATTTGCCCATTCTTCTTTGCAAAATAGCTAAAGCTCTGTGAGATTGGATGTAGAGTGTCTGTGAACAGCAATTTTCAAGTCTTGCCACAGATTCTCCATTGGATATAAGTCTGGACTTTGACTGGGCCATTCTAACGCATGAATGTACTTTGATCTAAGCCATTCCATTGTAGCTCTGGCTGTATGTTTAGGATCAGTGTCCTGCTGGTAGGTGAACCTCCTTTTTTACAAATATCTGAAAAGTGTGGCATGCATTTTATATTCAGCCTGCTGTCCTGCTGAAAGGTGAGCATCCACCCCAGTCTCAAGCTTTTTGCAGACTTCCAAGATTGCATACGGTTCCATCCATCTTCCCATCAACTCTGACCAGCTTCCCTGTCCCTGCTGAAGAAAAGCATCCCCACAACATGATGCTGCCACCACCATGTTTCATGGTGGAGATGGTGTGTTCACGGTGATGTGCAGTGTTAGTTTTCTGCCACACATAGTTAAATTTTAGTCTCATCTGACCAGAGCATCTTCTTCCACATGTTTGCTGTGTCCCCCACATGGCTTTTCACAAACTGCAAACGGGACTTCTTATGGTTTTCTTTCAACAATTACTTTCTTCTTTCCACTTTTCCAAGGCCAGATTTGTGGAGTGTATGACTAATCGTTTTCCTGTGGACAGATTCTCCCACCTGAACGGTGGATCTCTGCAGCTCCTCCAGAGTTGCTATGGGCACCTTGGCTGCTTCTCTGATTAATGCTGTCCTTGCCTGGCCTGTCAGTTCAGGTGGACAGCCATGTCTTGGTAGGTTTGCAGTTGTGCCATACACTTTCCATTTTCAGATGATGGATTGAACAGTGGTCCACGAGGTGTTCAAAGCTTGGAACAGTTTTTATAACCTAAGCCTGCTTTAAACTACACAATTTTATCCCTGACCTGCCTGGTGTGTTCCTTGGCTTTCATGATGCTGTTTGTTCACTAATGTTCTCTAACAAACCTCTAAGGGCTTCACAGAACAGCTGTATTTATACTGATATTAAATTACACACAGGTGGACTCTATTTACTAATTAGGTGACTTCTGAAGGCAGTTGGTTCCACTAGATTTTAGTTTAGTAAAGGGGGCTGAATACAAATGCATGCCACACCTTTCAGATATTTATTTGTAAAAAATTTTGAAAACCATTTATCATTTTCTTTCCACTTCAAAATTATGTGCCACTTTGTGTTGGTCTATCACATAAAATCCCGATAAAATACATTTATATTTTTGGTTGTAACATGACAAAATGTGGAATTTTTTAAAGGGTATGAATACTTTTTTAAGGCACTGTACTAGATGTAGTTTTCCTTGTGGGGTGTATTCATTTTTGCATTAAATGATTTTGAGTGAAACTGAAGATTTTGTAATTTAAGTTAATTATTACCTTACTTTCGCTAAACAAATGTTCTATAAAACTCAAAATTTTGGAAATTGTTCATTGTGTTCATTGATTAAAATCTTACTTTTCAAAAGGGATCGTGTTGGAAAAGTGCACAATGACCAAGGGCACGGATTGATGGTAGCATCTTCTTTTTCAATATAGAGCAGTACATCTGTGAATTTATGATACCATCAATGAAATGCAGCTCCCCAACACCAGCAGCATTCATGCAGCCTTACAGAAGGACACTACCACCACCATGTTTCACTGTTGGTACCATGCATTTTTCTTTGTACTCCTCAACTTTGCGACACCATACAGTTTTGAAGCCATCAGTTCCAAAAACCTTGATCTTGGTCTCATCACTCCAGAGTACAGAGTCCCAGTAGTCTTCTTTTCCAGCATGGGCCCTGGCAAATTCTATGCTGTCTTTTTTGTGCATGTGCTTTAGGAGAGGCTTCATTCGTGGACGACACTCATGCATGCCATTCCTCTGAAGTGTACGCTGTATTGTGGCATGGGAAACAATCACCCCAATTTTGGCTTTCTACTTCTTGTGCTAACTGCAGTGAACTTGCACGGCTATTTTCTTCAACACTTCACATCAGAAGATGCTCCCGTTGAGTTGTTAACTCCTATGGAAGGCCTGGAAGTCTCCGTGAGACAGTTGCAGTTCCAACTTTAAGTTTTTGTATTGCTTTTGCTACAGTATTCTGACTGATATGTAAAGCTTTTGCTGATCTTCTTGTAGCCTTCAACTTTCTTGTGTAAAGTAATGATTTTCTTTCTCAGGCCTTGTTACATTTCTCTTCCATGTGGTGCCATTGCTGACAACATGAAATGGGAGGGGTTTTCTTTGTTAGGTGATGTCCTTTTATAGTCAACTGTCTGCTGGAAACTTGTTTAATGAATAAATAGACTCGGCTTTAGTTGAATTCTTGTTGATCAGGATTTTGTTGTCTAAAATGTAACTTTGCTCCTAAGGCTTTCATTGGGGTGTATTAATTTCTGCAACATGGTCTTAAATGAATTTAAGAAAAATACTTTTCTTGTGTATGCAGATTAACAAATCTTGTTTACAATCCATGGCCCACATTTGTGGGAGTATTTTGTAGTATAGTCTCCCATAGAAAATGTTGATTCTGAAAGAAAAGTTAATGTTTTCTGACAAATCTGTTGAGGTCTACTCCTTTATGCTGAGCACTGTGTGTGTGTGCGTATGTATGTATGTATGTATGTATGTATATGTGTGTGTGTGTAT